TTTTGCGGCCTAAAATGACTGATTTTGCTGCAGCTTTTCTCAAAATGTGCGGTGATATTTGCAGCATCTCTTATTGTTTTGCAGTTAAAATATACCACAGACAACATTCTTCTAACATTATGACTCTTCTGACTTCGAGAACCATTGTAGGGCTCCAGACTAACATTTGAGGGCACCAGTGCCATTAAGTTCTACAGAAGGTGGCACCAGCACCTGACAGTAAAGCACTCACCCTAATCGCACATGTACATCTCGGAGGTGTCTATTTGGTGTCTGCATTTACATATGCAAGATGTATTTTTTATAGTGTTTGCACATCTGCAATACGTCTCTAAGACGTTTATCAGATTACACAGCAGATGTTTCCCAGATTTTGAGCAGACGTCTATAGTAGAATGAAGCAGGGTGAGGCTGAAAGCCGTCGAAGCGAAACGAGGCGCTGAACGAGCGTGACAAAACCGGAAATCGAGGGGTTATGACGTCATTGGCAGGCGACACAATGACACTATGGACACGCTCCGTATCACTAGTTAAAATTGCTTATTTCTCTGGATTTAAACATTCTTCGAAACATTTGGGATAATGTAAGTACACAAGTCAGCAAAATATATAACACCGTGTTGCGATGACGTCACGGGACGCGTGCGTCTAAGCCAAGCGGCAACCTTCCGGTCTCTCCCGTGAAACCAACACGGAAGTGACTCAAATGGCAATTCATCGACTGGCCCGCTAGAGGCTGGCTCCAAAAGGGAGTCAGTCCCATAGACTCCCCATGTTAAAATGCCCAACTTTACAGCAGAAAAAAAACGTTTACAACCTGGTACAAAAAGTGGTTTTGGTCTATATAGCTAATTTTGCCCTTCATTTGGTCTATATAGCTAATTTTGTCCTTCACTTTGAGGGGGGTGAATTTTTTTATAACTCATCCGTTTAAATTATATTAAGCCTTAAAGTTCTGCATAATTAAGGGCGTGGCCACTTGAGTGACAGGTGGATTGCCGCTGCTGTCACCGGCGTTGAGCTAGGTGGGTGTGGTTTCAGCAACCAGCTCCCGCATCTTTGCCCATTTTCGATCATCCGGGAGTGACGCGCTGCCAAGATGGCGACGGCCCGCTCCGCCCACTTTAGGCTTCAAAAACGCTCTTCGGAAACCTACGGGTGACGTCACGGACACTACGTCCATGTTTTTATACGGTCTATGGTCTAAGCCCAAAATCTGCGGAAAATCTTCAGCAATTACGAAAATTTGCGAGCTCTTGCGAAAATTGCGGAGTTTGCTTGATTTTGCCATAAATTCAGCAATCGCAGAATCCTGGAGGGACTGATAAAACTAAGAAATAGTCTACTTAAAAATTTAAATTGTCATTTTTTTTGAGCCTGTGGAGCACAAAAGGAGATATTTTGCTGAATGTTGAAGCTGTTCTTTTCCTTATCTTGTTCCCCATAAGTCTTCTGAAGCCATGTGTTCTCTGAGAAATGTCACCTTCATCATAAGCTCTCAAAGCATCTAGAATCTTGTCTTAACTGATCCCATATCGTCACGAATGACTCGCGTTCTGCTGTGGTTGTAGGAATGTGCCAAGCGTATTGCTAAGGTGTCTGCAGAGGCCAAGCTGGACGTGGATGAGGACACTTACCTTAACCAGTTCCGCCCACACCTGATGGATGTGGTCTACACCTGGGCCAACGGCTCCTCATTTTCTCAGATATGCAAAATGACAGACGTGTTTGAAGGTACTAGTTCTCTCGCAACAAATTGATGTATCAGATATTTACATTTTTATGTTTTAATTGAAGCCACTTTGTAAATATTGCTGTGATTAAGGCACTTTTCAGTTGGTCAGTTGTGTTTCTTAAGGTCTCTGCACACTGAGTCCGAAATTTTCGTATGCGTTTTTTCGTATTCTAAATCCTAAAAATTTGTCGTGCACAGAAACCTTGCACACTGAGTCCGATGCGTATTAATTAATCCGTTGCGAAAAAATTCGCAAAACAGCACTAAATGGAGTCTTCAAGCAGTGAGGATGATTTTGTTGTCCTCTCGCTTCTTTAAAAAAAAGAAAGGAAATATTGGGTCCATCCAATCCCGAGATAGAGAGGAAGGAGAGTTCCCCCTCCTTAAGGAGCAGCTGGATTATCACGGGCGATTCAAAGTTTACTTCAGGATGTCAGTGCTAGCGATACTAGAGCCACATATTAAAAAGAAGACCACCAATTTTTGTGAACTCCGTGTGCAAGGATCTATATACAGTGCTTTGTGCTGCGAGACAAAGTGGATGAACTTGACAATCGCCATTCTGGATTTTGGCGTTCGCTTGTACTGGCTCTGAACTGTCAAAACACCTCTCAAAATACTTGCTACGGATGCGAAAAACGGAAAAAATCGAACCCGATCCGAATTTTTTTATGACGGACGAATATTTCAGAGGCAGTGTGTAAACGTGATTGACATAACGTGAGGTCGTATTTATTTTTTTACGTGCGAAATTTTCGGACTCGGTGTGCAATGACATTTAGACCATCGGTTTCAGTAAATCACTTCTCACGAGTGTTTATGTAGCAGAATATTTATTAAATATTGTTATATTGGTACATAGACTTGCATATTTTTTTGTTCATTTTGTGAAAAATATGCCTATGTATGTAACTTTTGTTTTTTTTTGCTTTATTTTACATTTTAAATATTTTGAATCTGCAATCTAATAGTGGTTGTTTGGTCCATGTTATGGCTCCTCTGATTGGGGAGGGGGAAAAAATGACATTTAATGCACTTGCTTACACGATAGATGGATGGATAGATGGATGGATGGATGGATAGATGGATAGATAGATAGATAGATAGACAGACAGGCAGGCAGATGGATGATTGATGTTTTTTTTCCCGTATCGCCCAGCCCTAAATCCCGACAATGGCTTGTATTTAATTCTACTATAAAAAGACTATTTTCATATCATTCCTGTTTCCCAGAAATGACCAAATGTAATTAGTTTGTGAAACTATTAGGAATCAGTGATGTTGTATTTGGTCCTGACTTCATAAGTGCAGCATGGGGCCTGTTGTGAAATAAAAGGATTTCAAATGTATTTTCAGCACATCTTCTCCCAGGAGCCTCTGCTCTGAGATTTGGCCTTGTCCGCGGCATGACGTGTGTTTTGAAACGCAGATTTCATGTCTTGTCAAGAAAATCCCCCATCTGTCTGCGCTCCAGCTCCTGAGTGAGATTTTGGCTGCGTTCATGTGCATTAGCAAACAGCAAAGCACTTGTAGTGATAAATTGCAGTGAGGGAGAGATGTCATATGAAAAATGGAGAAGTTCCCATATTCTCTTTCTCTCGTCCCCTTTCACCTAATACTGAATTGGTCTCCGTAGAGATCTTAGAATGTTATGCCAGCAAAACCCCATGTGCCAAGATAAGTTTCATAGAAATAAACATCACTAATACAACTGGACATTGAAACTAAGGTTTACAAGCACTGAAAATGACCATATGTGGTTGGTATGTAGTAAGTGCGAGGAGGACTAACACTCTCTCTCTCGCTCTCTCTCTCTCTTTCTCAGGCAGTATTATCCGCTGCATGCGTAGATTGGAGGAGCTCTTGAGGCAGATGTGCCAGGCAGCCAAGGCCATTGGAAACACAGAGCTGGAGAATAAGTTTGCCACGGGTAGGACATGCTCTAGACTCGTGGTGTGACTCATTCAGCTCAATAGAGCCACGTGCAAAGAGTATCCAGTTTATTGTGGGCAGCTTTGAGCACTTAACTAGTAAACAGTCTTGGAAAGATTTAATTATTGATCACATTCTGAGAACCTGTGGATGTGAGACATAAGATAACAAACAAATCCACAATCCAGTGTCTCAATATCTCAATCTCATTACTGTGGTTCTGTATTTTGACTCATGAATTATTTAATTTACAGAACAACAGTTTTGTTTTTTTCCCATTTAAAGCCTAGTGAGCTGCCTTCTAAGGGCAGAAAGAAGTATGTGGTCTGAATGATTGCGTTTTCCATTGATGTTGCTATAACAGACCTCCGTACTCAAAGGGGCGCTATAGTTCCGTTCAAATGTCTGTTCCATTAAATCAGATGTGGTGTTATTCAAGTAACTAGCTACAAAATGTGCGTTTCAACTAAATTGCTCATAATTACCACGCAGGGGGAAAACCATAGAGTTTACGTTTGTCTCATTCCATCGTATACTTTACGACTTGCCAGCTGACACTTTTTGTAATGAAACAATGCATGAAAAAAAGCTTGTGAATCTAGAAGCATCAGCATTCATGCATTTCCACAGTACACGTCCTGCACGAAAGCTCCTCACGTGAAGCACATGGGAGACTATTTAGCATGTTGCTAAGCTAATAACATGGTGTTTGAATAAGCATAAAAATACGTTGATCAAAACGGATTCCAGTAGACTTTGTTGTTGGCATGCTGCTAATCTAATTGCACAGTATTCGATTAGCTAACAAACACACACAAATCGATTCCGATAGAGATGGATGTTAGCATTTTGCTAAGCTACTTATACAGCATTTCATTAGCTAACAAATACTTGGGTCAAAATGGATTCCAGTAGAGTTGAATGTTAGCATGCTGCTAAGCTAATTACACCGTATTTGATTAGCTAACAAATGGATAGGTTAAAATTGAATCCAATACAGTTGGATGTTAGCATTTTGCTAATTATGCAGTATTAGATTACCTAACAGTTAATGAGGTATCATAACTTAGGGAACGGCCTTTGTAGCGTGTTTATGATGCCTTAAAATGCTGTCTAGCTAGGCAGCACACTAGATTTTGGAACACAGCTTTGAGGTTGATAGGGTTTTGTTTTACAACTCAAACACATTTTCTTGTTTTTCACAGGTATAACGAAGATTAAGAGGGATATCGTGTTTGCTGCCAGTCTTTACCTGTGAATCTAGAGGTTTATATATTTCTGTGTTTGCTATTGTTTTTTTGTTTATTTTGCATCAAAACACTGAAGGACAGAATTTAAATGAAACATAATTGTTTTATTTGTTTGTCAACGAGCATAATGGGTTTTTGTTTCCATCATAAAAGCGCAACATTTTATACATAGTTTTAACAATTTTAATAAAAAAAAGTCTGTATAGCGAATCTTTATTTTTTTTAAATACAGATTAAAAAAAAGGTGTTTCTTTTGTGGCTTAATAGAGGTACACTTATATTAGTTTTTGGAGATACAGAGGAAGCTGTGGTAGCAGCAGAAGCAGTCCAGCCAAGGAAACGTGGTACAGCATCCATAGAGAGAGCCCCAGAAAGAGGCGTCTGGAGAACACAGAAAGCAAGGTTACATTCACAGGTTTCCACCGCAGTGGTCTGCCCTCGTAGTGGGTGCACGCTGAAACCCCTTCCCATCGACAGAGGCTCGTGATAGTTTAGTTTGGGTTTTCATAATGATTTCCATTCGTAGGCGTCTCTTATAAGGTGGTGTGTGGGATCTCTGCCTCTCTCTGTGGTTCAACGTTCTTTTTGAAGAAATTCGACACACAGAAAACCTGTAGAGTGTAAGAGAAGGTGATATATTGGAGGTTTATAGTCACAGGGGCTGGCCTGAAATGTCAGTGTTTTTCATATTTAGCAACTTACTTTAGTGCTTATACTGTACATCAGAAAGTAGAAGTCACTCAAACCCCTACTTATTTCTTATGTGGAACATAAACAAATGTGCATTAAAAGGGACTGGGGCTGATGGGAGGGGGAAAATCCAGAAATTTGTCACTGATTTTTTAAATATTTTGATCTTGTTTTGAGTGTAAATGAAATTTTAGAGTTTAGCTGAAGAATTTCAGATTGACAATTATTTTTCAATTTAAAACATTCTGTTCACAATTCTGTTGAGTGCTGTTAACTAAAACTATTAAAATTGTTTTTTAAATTTAAATAAAGCTTAAATTAAAAAAAGTTAAATGGAAAAAAAACGAAGTACCAATGATTAAAACTGAAATGGAAAAAAAAAATGGAATTCTTAAAAATAAAAACAAAATTACTAAAATTAAAATGAGAAACTGTAAGATAAAATATTAATGAATACCAGTGTTAGTTTAGTATCACTGATATACTATTAGCTTTACTAACATTTTAATATTTTGTTTTCATAAAAAAACAGCATTATATAATTTTAATAAGTGTCTGTCAATAAAGTTCTTGTTACTTTTTATTTCAATTTTAGTTTTTATTTTAGTACTTAAAAGTTAATCTTAAACAAAATAGGAAATTATGCCATGCTGAAGTAAACATGAACTGAAATAACTTATGCACTTAAAAAATATATTATTTTAATTTTAGTTCTAAAGGTAATCCTGATGAACACTATATAGTTAAAATAATACTGATTCTATTATTCCATGAACATCAGACAATAATATGGGTTTGGAATGACAAGAAAGTGAAATTCCTTTTGAATGAGCAGAATTCACTGATTTTCTGCAAGCATACATGATCTGTGTGCTGTTGAATGCATAACTCACCACTAGTAAAGCCACGATGGCTCCTTGTATTAGTCCTGTGAGTACATCACTCCAGTGGTGTTTATAGTCTGAGACACGGGACAGTCCTGTATAGATGGAGGCGGCGATCAGGAAGAACTGGAACATGGGGCGAAGGAGCCGTGCCCATTCAGTTTGCATTCTTGCTTGAAGATAAAGCTTTGAGAAAGGAAAAGCCTGTTCAAACTCATTGTATGTGAGAGGTTTAAAATATGCTGCCTGCTGAACTCGTACCGCACATGTGACTCCGCTGATGATCTCACTAACACACGGTCATGTTGACTTCAGTACACTGTGATTGTGTCTACAGTGTTTTCATGTTACTACAGATCCCCTGCTACCTAATTTTTCCTGTTTACGAAATGGCTCATTTTTCATGTTATCTCATGCCCGAGGGAATGCACCAAAAATTCTGGCTTGATGCGTCAAAGCCGCCACAGGCAACCGCTCCACATTCCCAACAATGTAGAGACTTCCTTTTACAGCAACCAATTGAAGTTAATTTAGTTGACACTCTGCTGGTTGTCATAATGCTATCACCTTACAGGTCTTGTTGTCAAAATCATTACTCATTTAAAGGTTTGATGGAGTTGACCCGAGTAGAAGGATAGTTTGCAACAAGGAATCAATGTGGGCAAAACAAGTTCTGTTTAACTTCCACTACATGTTAGACAGGTCTTGTTGTCAAAATCATTACTCATTTAAAGGTTTGATGGAGTGACCCGAGTAGAAGGATAGTTTGCAACAAGGAATCAATGTGGGCAAAACAAGTTCTGTTTAACTTCCACTACATGTTAAACGTGTGCTTGTGCAACAGTATGAAACCCTAAAATCAAAGCTGGCATTTGTTTTGAATCTCTGTAAACACAAAGAATTACTTTGGCAAGCTGATGGGAAGAAATCCTAACACTCAACCCCACGCTGGGGAAAGATTCCCAGAAATCATTGGGAGTCCCTAAAAATACCCACTCTAAAAGCACACAAACTCAAGAATCATTACTAGGTTATATTTATCTGGTTAATGCAGGGCTGGGCGATATAGCTAAAAAAAATGTATCAACGATATAATGTTTCATATCGTTCGGTACCGATAATTATTGACATTTTTAATAACCTTTTTTAAAACAAAGGAATAGAAAATTTTTTTTTATATTTAACCACTGTATTTATAATTAACACAATTTATTGAGACAAACAACAAATATTTTTTTGTTTTAACAGTCAAACACAAAATAAAAATTAAATCTCATTTCAAATGTTTTATATGCAGATTAAATAGGTCTGAAGGAAACTTTTGGCTTGTCTCCCGAGGCCACAGGAGGGCGCAATGAGCAAAATAATGCAGCACATTAAATTGTTAACGCAAGGAAATAACTGTCTATAAAACAACGTGCATTATTTGTGTGTGCTGTCTGCGTCACTCATTGCACGTGCCTATATCGTGCACTATATCGAACATTTTTTATATCGTTATCGAAGAAGGTGTACCGTCGATAAATATCGATACCGTTTTATTGCCCAGGCCTAGGTTAATGCTTGTACTCTTATCTGAATTTGAACAGTTTATCTCAGAATCAGGAGTCAAATAATTTTGATAGGGTAGCAGTTTAAAAAAATACTTCAGTGTTGTCTTTGAGCACTGACTCCAGGTCTGATGCGTTTATTTCAGGGTCCAAATGTGCTGTGAACTTTAGCCGCATGTCCTTAAAGCTTGTGCCCTCATGATAAGATTATGGTAGGTTGTGTTTGCTAACAAGGCTGTAATGGAGAAGTTCAGCAGAATGACACAAGACTCCTTAAGATTACTCTGCTGCCGAGTCAATATACCTCAGCGTGACAGATAATGGGCATTTTCCAATGGAAATATCAATGAAGTAAAATTTATAAATCTACAGACATTTATCCCATTTCCTTATCACTTAGAAACATTGTTATTAGATTATGTAAAGCTGATTGTAGTTACTTTGTTAACTGATTATTCAAGAACATCAGTACTGTATACAGTACAAAAATACCTTAAATACTTAAGAACGAATTGTGAATCAAAGGGATAGTTCACCTCAAAATGAAGCGTCTTATCATTTACTCACCCTCATGACTCCTTTTTCTACTGTATAACAGAAGAATAAGTTCTTCAAAACATCAACATTTGTTCATAAAATAAAAGTCAATAAGGTCCAAAACAACATTGGTCCCCACTGACTTTCAATGTATGAAAATACATGTTTTCCGCGAAAAAGTCAGTCAGACAGGTTTGGAACGACATGAGGGTAAGTAATGCTGCATTCACGTGCTATCGGAAATTTCCTATTTCCCACTTATGAAGTTGTGATTACGAGCTTGTCGTATTCAAGTGCTTTAATATCGGAAAGAATAAAATTTAGCATCCCATTGGTTGACTATCATAAACATTCACCGTGCTATACATGCAGTTTGCTGACAATTCTGGAATTTCGGTCAAATACATGCTTATTTCACTGCTTATAAAACATACAATATGCTTCGAATGATCGTTCATATCTAGCCTATAAATACACTACTTTAGCGACAAGACAGGGATGTAGTTGTTGTGAGAACAGCATTTTCAGCAGCAATGGTTGTCCCCTTCACCATGTTTAAAGATTATGACCTGCTCAACTCGGAAACTGGTATCAAAATTATTTCCGAATTTCCCAGTAGTAAATACGACTTGAGAGGCGTTCACATCTAATTTCCGATTAGGAAACGTATTTACGATAATTCCGATAGCATATGAAGGCAGCATAAATGACAAAAGAATATTGTATTTCAGTTGGGCTATCCCCTTGGGGTAAAGCATAAATAAATGACACTCACTGCCAGGAACAGCATACAGTACATGGAGAATGACGAGTGTCCCGAGTAGAATGAGAGTCTGCAACAAAAACAAATCGATGAATCAATGTGGGCAACACAGAAGGGCTGCTTAATTACTTACTACATGCAGACATGTACTTATGCAACACTATGAAGCCTTTAGTTAAAGCTGACATTTGTTTTGCAAATCTGTAAACAAACTAAGAATTACTTGGACAAATTGGCAGGATGGAATCCTAACACTGAACCCCATGCTAGGCAAAGATTTGCATTGTCCCATTTGGTCCCACAAAACACCCCCTTTAAAAAGCACAAACACACACCCTTTTCCGGATGATAAAGGCATGCTCGGGGGAGACGCGTGCTGAACGAAGGGGGTCAGGGCAGGGGAAGCGCGGAAAGCGTCAGAGAGGGAGGGTGGTCTGGCTATCCGGCAGGCTTTTGTGTGTTCCTGTTTACTTAAGCTTAGGCCTCTTGTCGACTAGGAGCATCCGCCTAGTGGCTGACGCCAAATAAAACTTGAATTATTCAAGCAGCACAACTGCCGTACACTCAACCACTGCAAACATGCTCCTTTCATATCAATCTACTTAAAAGCAGAGTTTAACCAGATCTGGGCAGTGTGCTAATTATAATGAGGACTAGATCTTTATGTTCTTGTTTGCTGATTGAATTACAGACCCGGTCATGAGACAAGAGACAAAGCAGAGCTAAAGCGAATTATCTGTGCGGTGGAGAAACTAAAATAAAGCACTGCAGATCATATTCTGAGTGTGCCTGAACTCCATGTGGATAAAATATAACGAAAGGGCAACACGGACTCAAAGAACTGAAGACCTACTTCAGATGTTTAAATAATTTATGACTGGACTGTTTGAACTAGACCTGGATGACTCTCTCACCCTTTAACAAGCAAATACACTTGTTTGCCTATCAACAAGACTCCATTTTCCTGAGAACACTCATGTGAAAGGTGATCTGGGTTATTCTGGGCTCAGACCCTCAACTGCTCTTTATTTGTTCTATAAATGGCATCGTCTCCTAGGCAAACACTAGACCACCACTAAAGAGGTGCTCTTCCGAGAGAGAGAGATGGGAACCACGCCCATGTTAAACGAGAGTATTCTGAGAGGGCCTGGGATACTGCTGGCCTTGAGTCTGGCCCAAGAACCCAAACAGAAAGCCTGCGTGCACTGAAACGGCTACCCGCAGGATTAGAGATTGCCAACAAGAGCTTGGGTGGTCAACGGTGTGGACAACTGATCCAAAAAGGGTTCACATTGGAAGAAGCCTTCATTTCAATTTTAATTAGGGAGTTTCTTCTCAATGCCAGATAATAACGTACTTATGGCACACTTGAGGTCACAATAGAACTGGTTCTGCTAATTGGACACTTTCCTGTAAATCACTAGAACTACACCTCATTTCCATATGAGATCCACCTATCCGAAAAGGTTCCGAAGCAAAGTTATTTCGAGGGACAAGCTTGTCTAATAATGAATGCAGATGCAGGCTAGATTGGGTAGGAAGTTTCCAGGATGGAACCACATTAAAGAACAAAGTTGAGGGATTTTTCCCACCCCAAGGAAAAAACCTTTCTTGCAACTCTTCCATCCATCCAGAGCAGGACACCCAGTAGTGCAGGTGTGTCCAATTCTGCTCCTTGAGCACCTGCAGAGTTGAGCGCCACACCAACCTAGAAGTTTTGAGTGACCCTGATTTAGCAGTAGCCCCTCACTGCAGTACACAAGATCCATCCAGGGGGTGGAGATGGTAGGTTTAGGGGTCAAGATGGGTAGGTTTAGGGGCAGAGATGGGTAGGTTTAGGGATCAGGGGTGGAGATGGTAGGTTTAGGGGTCGAGATGGGTAGGTTTAGGGGCAGAGATGGGTAGGTTTAGGGATCAGGGGGTGGAGATGGTAGGTTTAGGGGTGGAGATGGGTAGGTTTAGGGGCAGAGATTGGTAGGTTTAGGGATCAGGGGGTGGAGACGGGTAGGTATAGGGGTCGAGATGGGTATCGTGGAAAGGAATGCTAAAACTTTTGGAGAAATGTCTAAGAGGAGAGAGTATGCCATCTGTGCTCCAGAAGATATCAACTATCCACTCTTATCACATTCCAGATGGATCACAATATACTAGATACGCCTTCCATCAGGTCTAGATTTATTTTTTTCCCGAATTTTGTGTTAAAACAGTTTTGATACAAATATTTATGCAATTAACTATGCTAACAAGCAAGCCGCCTGAACATCAGTACTTGAGATGTGACCAAACAGTGACCCTTCCTAAACATATTCAGGAAGTTTCTGTGGTTTAGTTGGTAAACCCAAGAATCCTCTCATGATGAAAACCACAAACTCTGCCCAATTTGCAGTTGCTTCTAAAAAAAAAAGCAGCAGGAGCAGATTGAAGGAGGGTGCGTTTAAATACATTCCCAGCCCGAAATACCTCAAATCTGAGCTAATCTAAAACAGCTATTAAGGGAATTTCTTGTACTTGGTGGACATCCTTGCCGAAGAAGTTAATGAAAAGCAACATGCCCAGAGTATCCCTACACAAAGGAACAAAAACACTGCCTGGGTGCAACAGAGCTGCCCAAATGTTTCTATCCCGACACTGTGTCTACATCAAACAGATGCAGTGCATCACCATCTGCACAACTAGATTGTAGTCTATAATGGAAGCGTCTTGTCACATTTTCAGTCGGAGGGATGGTTTCTATTTTTGGCATGCCACAGAGCTATATATATATATATATATATTTGAGTGTGTGTGTGTGTGTGTGTGTATTAGTGGTTCAACGGATCATATAGCAGCATCAGATCGTTTTTCGGATCCAAAATATAAAACTATATAAAATATATATTTTATATCAATGTAACTTTAATTAATTAATTTGACTTAAATTAGTTAATTTGTGTTTTGAGGATTAACAAAGGTCTTATGGGTTTGAAACAACATTAGGGTGTGTAAGCGATGACAATTTTCATTTTTGGGTGTACTATCCCTCGGGCGACAGTGGTCTCTTCCAGTGTAGACAATGTTAGACGGTCTAATGTGATCCCAGATGAAGTGACTTGAACAGCTGCTTCCAATCCACCTAATAAAGCTCTATTGAAATTGCATTTTGCACCTGTTCAGTGGTCAGGAGTCATGTTGAAACAGCTGTTCTTCGGTGTTTATTTGTCTGTTTGTTCATTCAGAATGAAGGGCCACTTCCTGTGACTGCAACAGTCCATTAAACTCTCAAGATGAATTGCCAAATATCCTTTAAAACAAGCTTGAGCGCACTACAGACTTGTGAGGGAAGACGCTGGGCATGTCTTGTGTGGATGCTATCTAGGATTACTTACACTACATATGGGAAGTGTGAAGCCCACTGTGTAGAGCACAGTGGAGGTGACTGTGCTGGTGTGGAAGGGATAGCTGATGCTCTCATCATTACAGAAAAAGCCCCGCTGATACGGTTTGATTTTACCCAGGTTAAACGCTGCAAGCGGGAGGCCAGCTGTAGGTGAAGAAGGGTTAACAACGGGTTAACAACTCGATAAAGGGTCTACCAACCAATCAAATGCAAGGGCTGATTTCCAATGTTGAAGAATGGCTGCTGCCACCTAAGAGATAAAAATTACATAACGGGTGGGTTTATAATGACAAAGCTTGTTCAGAAAGGACACCTGACAGGTGGTGCCATAGAATTAATTGTTACTTTAAAGTGACATATGTAAAGTGTACGGTGTCTGATGACAGTTTTACAAAGGGTCCATGACACGTGAGTGTCCGTGATAAAGAGAAGGGAAAATCTAGTTTAAAACGTGTCAAGTTCTTAGAAATGCACTCTTTGTTTTCATGTTGGTTTTATGTGGTTTTGAAAAACCCAGAAAAAGTTTAATGACTCATGTGGAGTAATCATCAGGTAAAATAATTTTTAAATTATTAAAAATATATATAATAACATTAAAAGGTTATAAAAATATTACAAAATATTGTAATTATTACTATGATGTAGTTTGTTTTTTTTGCATGTTTCTACATGGTCACAAAAGTTGTTGTTTTTTTCAAATATTAAAAGGCAGTGAAGCAGTTTTGTTAAAATCTTTAAAAAAAAAAAGGATTACTTTATTATAAATTATTAAAGATTATGCTTTTTTTGTAAATTACGATATCAAAACAGTTGTCACTCTGAATTTTTTCTTCTTCATGCCACTCAAAAAATATCAAAATGAATTTTAATTCAGAAGGGGTGTCTTCAAGTCATTGTATTTCTGAATGATGTTTTTAATGTATTTTTGAATTAACTAATAGATAGGACTAAAGAAATAAGCACCTTATCATCATCCATCTCCCCAAATCAAGGGCTAAATTAATCTATTAAATTAAGCTTTAAACACTTAATTATACTTACTGTCATCCTTTCTTAGTGTTCAAACCAGATGCAATGCTTTTGTCACATACAGCCTTTTAAATTTTAGCTGACGCTAATGTGTCTTTATGCATCCCATATTGCACTAATGCGACCTGATGGTTTAAAGTCGAGAGCTCGTATGTAAACTTTGAATCCTCTATAGCCTCAGCCTATTGTTGCTGCTGTTGCAAAGCATTATGGAAAAACAACAAAAACCCTCATTCATAGAGCCTGAGGCTCTTCTCCCAAGAAAAGACTATGGGTCTGTTACTCATGTCGAGTGCATGTGACATACGCACACATATAGTTAAAGCTGGCTGCTCAAGCCTGAAAGAAGGAAGAGCTGGGCTGAGGAGATGCTGAATTGCTTTTTGCTCTAATGAAGCCCCATTGTAATTCAAATGCCAAAACAAACACAATTAGTAAGGCCTTTTGGGTGCAAACCGTCAGTATACGGCTCTTCTCTTCTGTGTATTCTCATAGTTTGAGTTTAGGTGGTAACGGTGGTATGTAAATATGCATTTGTGAATGAAAATCAAGGATGGCCTCGGTAAAACACAGAAAGGCACGTGACGTGACATGAGTATCTGCTTGACAGTCATGGTTGTGACCTACTTTTGAATATGAGAGAAATGACCAGCATGTGTGTTCAATTGTCAAAAATACTACTATACAAACTCCAGTTAGGATATTATACTTCATTACACTTAAAATTCTTCTAAAACGCTAAAATAATCATGTTGGCACATTTATCAAAGAACAAAAACAAGTAGCCATCATATGAAAGTGACTCGGATGGTTACTTTGTGGAAAGTCCAATCTGTTTGTTCCCTGTGTAAAAACATGAAAACATTCCCCCAGTGCACGGAAAATTCCAAGATAAATACAGATCAAAACTTTCATCATAAGTGCTGTAGGACTGAGCAGGGATTATTGGGGAACAACTAGATTCAGAATATAATCGTTAATTACATTACAGGGTTCCCACATACTTTGACCAAATAATTTCCATGACTTCTTCAGTCATTTCTGATTATTTGGATAAGGATTCAAATAATAATAATAATAATAATAATAATTTCATAGGAATAAATCACATTATTATGCATTATAAGGGTGTGGGGCTAGTTGTCACATTGGGATATTTTCATAAATGCCCCAAGGAAGTTGTCATGCATTTTAAATGTATGTATTTTTGAATGTTACCTTTTAGATTTTTTTCAGTCTGACAGGTTGCATTGTGACAACTTACCCCATATAGTGTGACAACATTCTCTGCTGTTGGGGCATGTTGTCACAGCAGGTGTGTTCAATGATTTGTATCTTTATTCTAGACAATTCAGTAAACTAAGACTTTAAATTTATGACATTATACAGAAACACACATTTTAAATAAATAAATCATAAAAAAAATTGCTGGGTTAAAACTGTGACAACTAGCCCCACGTACTATATGTGTGTGTGTGTGTGTGTGTGTGTGTGTGTGAGAGAGAGAGTGTGTGTGTGTTTCTCATGGGATTTTTAATGATTTTCAGCGATGTTTCACGTTCCCTTATACCCTGACTCATTGTTTTGCATAACATAAAGGTAACGCCCTGTAATTACGGAAATTTTGATAAAGCATGATAAATGCAAGTCGGCTCCAGTACGCACTATGACGCACTCTATGAGTGTAGTATGTGGTTAACATGTGAGTACCATTGTTGCATGGAATCCCATGCAATTAAATAACGTGCATGGCAACATGTATCTAAAACAACTGACATGTCTAGATACGTCTTTAGTATGTTTATATATTAATATCTTTCTGTACAACACTTATTAACGCCTGCGTTATAAATTACTCTCACTTCGCTTTAAGACGCATTACAATCCAGGCAACACCTATTTATATCAATTCATAAAATACAAGCGAGACTACTTAAAATAATGCTTACCGAGTATTAGGCACGCGATGTCAAGCAATATAAAGGGGATTCCTCTGGTTTCAAACATCGTGCCAGTGTCCTTCTGTGGGTCAGTAACGGAGATAAAGGCTTTCTTTAAGGCGTCCTCAGTGTTCCCACTGTAAACAGCCTGACGGAGCGTCCACCTCTAGTGGTCAACTGGAAGAGAGATGAGCTGCAGGGACCAACGCCAGCGCAAACACTCTTAATAACATTGACCGCGTAATAATAAGCAGCCGCAGAGGAGACAGAGCGAGCCGCTTGGTTGTAGCTTGTTAGATAAGATCACCATTTCAACGCATGAGGTAAAGAATAAGCGATGGCGAGCCGGTATGCGGTGTTTCGGGCGATGCGATTAAATAGACTCGAGTGTCTTCGGACTACACACTACTGAGCTCCTGCTGGCTGTCATGACGGACAACAGCTAAGGCTCATTACAGCCAATCGCGTGTCTCTCGGCATAAAGCCACGCCCACCACGCCCACACCCATGCGTCTTTATAATTAGATCAATATATAGACCATGACTGTCTTGAGAAAAAAATATATCTCAAACAAATAGTTATGGATAAACAGTTTGTTTTTGTTGTGAATCTATAAAAAATATTGGCTGAAAAAAAAAAAACATTTTGAAAGAGCAAAGTATTTAATTTGAGCATGTATCATATATTTGTAGTTGCATATCATTTATATTTGTATTATATATTCTTAAACTTTTATATACTTATACTTGTATTAGCCTTTATCTCTCTTTATCTCTCTAGTTATTGGTATCGGCCACTGAAAAATCCACTACTAATACTACTAATACTAATACTAATAATAATAGTTTATTGCAACAAATGTAAAATTTTGTAAGAAATATAAATAGTGAGCAGTAAGATCTTATGTTTACAATGTTTAAAGTATGTAACAATAAATAATGTAGTAATGATTTAATAACAGAATAACAGGAAAAGTAGTTTATATATTGAGAAAATGTCATTTTTTAATTAAAAATGCTAATCATGAACACTCAAATGGCATTCATAACACAATTTGAGTTTGATATCAAAATTATGCAGCTGAATCGTTACTCTTTAAGTCTTACTCTAAAATCACAATACACATCTTTAGTTTGCTGAGCCATTAAATGGTGTTCTTCACAATGTCATATAAAATCAATAAAAAAGATTAAATTAAAAACTAGTTTTCAAAGTGTATTGGTTTCAAATTTTCAAAAATCCCAATACACATCATCACATGGCAAGCCAAACAGATACTAGAGTTCATGAAGATTTAAATTAGTTACGCAATACTGCCATCTAGAGGTAATATCTGGACACATAATTTTCAATGGTGATATTAGTAAATGATGTATGAAAATCAGTGACTTTTTTTCCTTCATTTTATTCTGCTTTGGCCTCAAAAAATCTAAATGACTTTTCATTTACAATAAATCAGAGCGAATTCGTGTCAAAACAATATATTTAAAGAATATATAACCATACACGCTTCAAGGTTTTAGGGTGAAAAAATGTCACACTTAAAAAATAAAAAACAAACCTGAAGTCTTTGATATACCTGACAGGCGTGTATTCTGACTGAACTTCAATAAAATTCAGCTAAATCTGAAGATGATAAATTGTGCACAAATATAGCTAAGTATTTGGAAGGGTCACTTAAATAAACCCTCTAACAAATACTGTTAATCTTCAGCACTCATAATACTCTTTGCGAACAAAATTCTTTGTCATACAAAATATCACTCAGATATTACAATTCTTGGTGTCTTTGAAATCAAAATTAGAATTTGATTAGATTATTAAAACTAGTACATTTGTTGTGTTTGAGTATATAATGAAGTTCCTCTGTAAAACCATCAGCTCACTGTCTATTTTAATAAATGGCACCACAAGGTGGCACCACAACATTAATAAATTGCAGTTCTTTGAACCACTCGTCATATGAACTATCGCACAGCTGTCTACACAACATGCATTAGCCCTCAATCTTCTTCTCACTCATCGATTCACACACACACACACAAAAAATTGAAACAAAGTGTCTCATCTAAATGTCATTTGTATCGGTTGGTATAATACAGAATGCTTTCTGAAAGACAGCGGTTTATCAGCGTAACCCACTGACCGGGTGAAGTGCATTACAGACACATCATGTGCTGCATCTCTATAATACTGTGGATCATATTGTATCACTCCAAAGAGACTTGAAGGTCCTTTACTGCGCTCCCACGCTTGACTATCTTGTCTTGAGGGAATGTCTGTCTGCTGCTCTGTTCCTGTGGCGTCTCTTGGTTATCTCTGTGTTTGGGTTTGCATATGTGTGTGTGCGTCAGTTTGACTAAAACCGGCTCTTCACTGAAGGCAGTACTGTATAATTTTTCCACTTCCCCTCTCATGCATAACATAAATGAATTCTGTCATCATTTACTCGCCCTAGTGTCAAATTATTGTTTCCTCTGTGGAACATAAAAGGAGAACTTCTGAAAAATTTACTGGATGCTCTTTTCCATTCGATTTACAATCAAGCAAGTTTTTTCCCGGACTTTTTAATGAATAAAAAGTTCAATGAACAGCATTTATTTAAAACATAAATCTTTTGTAACCTTATAAATGTATTGCTCTTTTCCATTCGATTTACAATCAAGCATTTGGGAATAATTAAGATTTATTTTTTAAAAGAAGTATCTTATGCTCAGCAAGGCTGAATTTGTTAGATAAAAAATACAGTAAAAATGGTAATATTGTGAAATATTTTTTACAATTCAGAATACTTGTTTTCTCGTTGAATATATTGTAAAATGTAATTTATTCCTGTGATGCAAAGCTGAATTTTCAGCATCATTACTCCAGTCTTCAGTGTCACATGATCCTTCAGAAATCTTTCTGATATGCCGATTTGGTTCTCAGTTTTTATAAATTATTATCGGTGCTCAATTATTAATAATGTTTCTTATTATTATCAATGTTGAAAGTAGTTTTTGCTGCTTAATATTTTTGTGGAGTTTTTTCCCGGACTTTTTAATGAATAAAAAGTTCAATGAACAGCATTTATTTAAAACATAAATCTTTTGTAACCTTATAAATGTATTTTACTGTATTTTTATCAAATAAATGGAGCCTTGGCGAGCACGAGACTTCTTTCAAAAACATTTAAAAAATCAGAATTATTTCAAACATTTGGATGGCAGTGTACTTCATTTTATACTACATTTCAAGACTTCTAAAGCCATACAACAGAAACAGAAATTTTTGTTTTAAAAAACACAGATCAGTCTGATTCAAGAGTGAATCATTCAACCTGTGATTCAATAAAAAGATTCAATGCTTCAATTCAATTCTTCTCATGAACATAATTTGGGCTTCACGTGGACCACTTTTATAATGATTTTACGGTGCTTTTTGCATCTTTTTTGAAGCTTCAGTCAATATTCACTGTGAAAACAGCAAAAAGAACAACCAGAGCTCTGCTTCCACAGAACAAACGTCAAATGTCATTAGGCTTAGTAAATAAGAACAGAATGTTCCATTTTTCGGGTGAACAATCCCTTTAAGAGCATGTATACAAGCGGTAAAAGTCCATCAAGATTTTTTAGCTCCGCTTCGCTGTCTTCACGTGGACCACTTTTATAATGATTTTACGGTGCTTTTTGCATCTTTTTTGAAGCTTCAGTCAATATTCACTGTAAAAACAGCAAAAAGAACAACCAGAGCTCTGCTTCCACAGAACAAACATCAAATGTCATTAGGCTTAGTAAATAAGAACAGAATGTTCCATTTTTCGGTGAACAATCCCTTTAAGAGCATGTATACAAGCGGTAAAAGTCCATCAAGATTTTTTAGCTCCGCTTCGCTGTTTCTGTTTGCGGAGGTGCGCCTCGATCTCGTGTCTGAAGAGCAGCATGCCCAGCTGGCCGTGCGAGGCCTCGTTCATGGCTTTGGACTGCATGCACATCTTGTACTGGTCTGGAGGCAGTTCATCAGCGCAGCGTTTCTCATGCCACAGGTGGAAGAGGCCGCGTGACGGGGCGCGCACCACTAGCAGATTACTGTGGAGGTACTTCCTGTATAGGTGGACGTCCTCGCCACCCCAGCCTTTAATGTCCACATCGAAACCACCTGTAAGAGGAGGAGACAGGCAAAATGTGTGCAATGACCATGAGCATTAGGAAATTTCATGGATCCCTCAAGAAGTACAGAGGTGGAGCTCAAGCATTTAATGCCAGTCTTTCTCAAGATACTGAAATCATTCTAAAATACTTTTAAAATAATTAAATGCAATTATTAAAACTGTTTGTTCCCCCATAGTCTCAACATGTTCAGTATGCACTGTAAAAAAAAAAAAAGGTTGTCAGGTAACCTCAAAATGTGGTAAACCACTTTTTTTTATATTTATTTCAATGACTTACCCTGTAACATAAAGCTACAGTTCAACCAAAAATCTTTTTTCTGACTTTCTTCTGATGAACACAAAAGAAGAGAATATATCAACTGTTTTTGTCCATATATATATATATATATTTTTTTTTTTCATATATCAAGGTTGAATCACAAGCATAAAGGGCTTCTTTTAAGTTCCACAGAAGAATGAAAGCCGTACAGTTTTGGAATGACATGAGGTTGAGTAAATTATGACATTTTTTGAGTGAACTATTCTTTAAGAAAAGAAAATTGCAGTTAAGAAGAATTTTATTCTAATAAGCATAGTTCACCCCAAAATGAAAATTCTGTCATCATTTACTTACCCTCAAGTTTTTCCAAACTTATATGATTTTATTTCTTCTGCAGAACACAAAAGAAGATATTTTGAAGAACATTTTTGTTCCTATTGACTTCCATTATGCTCTTTGACCATAAAATGGAAGTCAATAGGAACCAAAACTGTTTGGTTACTAACATTCTTCAAAATATCTTCTTTTGTTTTCCAGAAATGATACAGGTTTGGAACAACATGGGGTTGAGTAAATGATGGCAGATTTCTAATTTTGGAGCGAACTATCCCTGTAATAATGTTTTGTGAATCCAGCACCATATCAGGCAAAAATAGCTCCTATTTATTTAAGGCAACAACAGCACATTTAAAATTATTGTTAATGCGACCAGCTGCAATAATAATAATGTATCCGCAGAAAGAAAATGTTGAATAAACACTCTGTTTACACACATCTTCTGTTGTTGTTAAAGGGAAGCTTGAACTTCCCTCAGGACAAACAGCCCGCTTTATCAGTACATTTAATCAGGCTCTTTATTATCTATGTGTTCAGAATATCAATGCCAGACGACTGAGATGATTTTGTTCCATCACAATGCGGCAATTAATCACATCAAACTTGATGAAGCATTTTAATCTCCTCATGAAAATGAGTTGCATTACCAGCTGCTGTTCCACAGGGGGGACGTGATCATGACTGCCGTAGATTACAGCTGGGTTGTACTGGCTGAAGAGAACGGGGTAAAACACTTTCTTTCCTAAGACAAGGTGATCACACAGCTGTTTATGATATGAGCACAGCATATATTCCTCATTTAAACACTTCATTAGATGGTCATTCAAAAGTTTGGGGTGGTGAGATTTTTTGTTTTTGGAAGAAGTCTTTTATGTTCACCAAGGCTGCATTTATTTGATCGAAAATACAGTAAAA